AGCTCTGGGAAGAAGTTTTTAAATTGGCGTAAAGACTTTTCCTGCCTTTCCGAACATGTAGGGGAGAAACAGCTGGGAGGGGATGCTGAGGTCCCTAACTTCAGGCAGTTAAGCCGCAACCCAGGAAAGCTGTTGATTGCTACCTTGCTTGGTTTGCCGCTCCTAAGCCCATAGAGTTTAGGCTCTTCCAATGAAGCTAACAGGTTTTATAATGCAAGAAAAAACTTGGAGACACAGGGGGCCTCACCCCACAAACATAAACCATGAAAATCCAGATACTTGGAATTGGAATTGCTCTTCAGAGCAAACTCATATAATCTATGGACTCTTGAATTGCTTAAAGCATATCCAGGACTTTACATATTATTCTAGATACAGAGAAATGAATATGCACCTGCCTTGTCTTGTCTTTGGATCAAATTCATATTAAAAAAAATAAATTGTACAAACAAGAGGTGCCAGGGTGGCTCAGTTGGCTAAGCGTCTGCCTTCCGCTCAGGTCATGATCCCGGAGTCCTGGGATTGAGCCCTGCATCGGGCTCCCTGCTCTGTGGGGAGCCTGCTTCTCCCTCACCCTCTGCCTGTTGCTCTCCCTGTTTGTGGTCTCTCTCCCTCTGTCAAATAAATGAATAAAATCTCCTTTAAAAATTGTACAAACAAAATATCTGCACTGGCAATAGATATTTCACATTAAAAACACTGAGGACTTACACTAGTAGCAAAATAAAGTGGAACCACAGAAAGCAATCTTTCTTCTACAAGCAGACAACAAATTATGGTTGTACGCAGTTGCTAGAAGATGCCCTCTGACATCCCTACAATGCAGTAGTAGAGGTCACTCTGTGACAGAAGGCTGAAAGCAAAGCAGTTTGAGAGGTCTGTTAGAAAGGGCAATGCTTGGGTGCCCATCCCTCTGAGACACCCTCAGTGATGGGCTGAGGCCCCAACAGGGCATCAATTAGCTATCCAAGCACAAGACCTTAAAGAGTAAGGTCCTTTTCCCAAAGAACCTGCACACAGCGGTAGAGATGAAGCTTCACTAGGACTACCTCCCCCATTCTTCTCTGCCCCCCACCCCGCACAATTCTATAACAAAATGTTTCTACATTTTTGAGATATCATTACTGCCAGCTTCTTTCCTCTTTATCAGGATCTGATGTCCTACTATTAAAAATTTAGTTGGGATCTGTCTTAATCAGTTTGGTCTGCTGTAACAAGACCATACACTGGGAGGCTTAAAACACAGATATTTGGGGGCGCCTAGGTGGCTCAGTGGGTTAAGCCGCTGCCTTCAGCTCAGGTCATGATCTCAGGGTCCTGGGATCGAGTCCCGCATCGGGCTCTCTGCTCAGCAAGAAGCCTGCTTGCTTCCCTCTCTCTCTCTGCCTGACTCTCCGTCTACTTGTGATCTCTGTCTGTCAAATAAATAAATAAAATCTTTAAAAAAAAACACAGATATTTGTATCTCACAATTCTGGAAGCTGGGAAGTACAAGATTAAGGTAGTGGCAGATTCAGTGTCTGATAAGAGCCCTCTTCCTGGTTCTACAGATGGCTGTCTTCTCACTGTAACCTTGTATTGCAGGGACCAAAGACAGAAGCAAGCACTCTGCTGTCCAGTTTTAACCGCACTAATCTCATCATGAAGGCTCTACTCTTGTGATCTAATTACCTCCTGAAGGCTCCATCTCTGGAATTGGAGGTCAGGGTGGGGAGTGGAATCAAAAAGGCACTTTGTAACATGACCCATGTCAATTTCTGACAACTTCCAACTCCTATTTGTTCAAAATCAACTGAGCAGGACTCGACATGAATTCATTGATAGCAAATTCAACCACCTACTTTATTTTTGTTGTTCAACGTGGGTAGAAGTCTCTGCGTGGTCACTACCTACCACATGACAGGGCTTAGGGTGAATTCCACATGGTCATTCAGCTTAAGTTAAGGAACTGGCCTTAATGGGGGAAATTACAAGCCAAGAGTCAGAAAGAGAAGATAGCATAGTCTAGAGTTTTCCAACCATCCCAGAGAGAGGGATGCTATGGCTAGGAGCTATGTGTGTTCTGATGGAAGAAGATGTCCCCCAAGATGGTATCTTCTTAGAGTAAACTTGTGAGAAAGCAGCCTCGTCAGAATTCAGAGCCAGGGTAACTGAGCTTAGGGGCTAGCTGCCCAACATCTGGGGATCTCAGGAGCACTTAAGAAGTTGTAGCCCCTTTTGCAAGGGGTAAAAGCCCTCCTGGGAAGCTGAGTGTGGGCACAGCTGCTCCTGCTGGTAGAATGGTAAACCCTAGTTCTTTCCGGCACAATACATGAAGTACCATGCTCTTTAAGTCATATTTTAATAGGTATTAGTCATAACCTGCTGATGACCAGTGTGAACAATACTCTGCTACAACCATCTGCCAGATAAAGGAAATGCTTTGAGTTAATAAAGGTGGTTCAGAGATGAAAGCGTTCCAACAGAATACTTACATAACATTCAGACACGTCAGAATATTAACTTAGAGGCAGAAGGCAAAGTGGAGATTGTCTACCAATTGGGACAAAAAGATGAAGAGATGATGAGATGAATAAAGACATAAGGGAAAATAATACTGGAAATCAATTCCCTCAACAAATCTTTATTAAACACTTAAGTTCTGAGGATGAGCTGGTGAGGAAGACAGATAGGCCTACTTGTTCTACAGGCAGCCCAATAGATGTTTAAAAAACTAAAATAATAATTTTTAAAGATTTTTCCCCTGAATTACTTGCATGAACATGTTAACATTCTCCCAAGTTGCAATTCTGTTTACCTGAACAAACAAACAAAAGAGCAGATGGATGGAACAGAAGCAATTTTTAAAGTTAAAAAAAAAAAGGACTTAATCTGATCTTTTAAAAAGTACTCAAAAAATTTTGATGTTTATTATGTTCGAGACACATTTTAGGGAAAAGACGATCATACAAAGGCCTATCTGAACAGAATTTTTAAACTTCAAAAATAAGAATTTTACAAGTGTTTAAGACTCACCAGGTAACAATAAAGCACCATCTACCAAGCTTTGAAGGACATGTTTTCAAATATGCCAGAACTAGGAAAATGCACCTCTTTTCTGAATAAGCTATTTTAAGCTCATTCTAGAGCAAGAGATGATCAGAAGGAAAAACTCAAGCAAAGGGAGGTTGCAGCTGAAAGAGACCAGCAATAAGTCACGAGAATATTTCATTTGTAGGGGTGAGTCTGGATTATTGGTGTAAAGACAGTTATGCTACAAGGGAAATGGACAAAACATTTGAATTCCCTGAGTAAGAAATATAAATGGCTAGTGATATACTACTGATCAGGGATATGTGAAACCACAAAGAAATACCACTTTCCAACCTATCATTCTGATTTAAACAAAATATTTTTTAAATACTAGCCAAGGAACCAGCTTGACAGAGGAACCCAAAAAGCAAAGTTGGGCCAATTTTAGCATCAAAAGAACCATGACTGTAATTGATTGAAACATGCCAACATATTAGAAAAAGGAATAAAATAAGCAAGCAAATAAATAAGAACTTCTTTGAAGGTGGCCATTAAACAACAACAACAACAAAGGAATAAAATAAGCAAGCAAACAAATAAGAACTTCTTTGGAGGTGGCCATTATACCAAGTTCTTAACTCTGGAAGGGAAAGGACTATTTTTCCTTTGCATTAGGAATCATATTGCAGAATAACCTTATAGTCCTAGTCGATGAGGAAAAGCTCTTCTTTCCAGAAAAATGCCCCCTATAAATGTAGACAGAATTGGAAACTCACAATTTGCAACCCCTAAGGAAATAATTAAGGCAATATTATCAACGATGATGAAACCATTAGGTGAATGGTGGATGGACATCTGGATCTTCACCTAGTGTCAAAGTTATCACCCCACGGATTACTATGTAGTTCCAAGATGACTATCAGCACATAAACCCTGTGGTCAATCTTACTATCACCAATGATGAGATTACCAGAGGTTCGTAAAGTGACTCTTTGTGTGATGCCTGAGTCTAATCAAGTCTTCAGATTCAGCTTCCAATAGGTGGCCCTCTTTAAGCTTCCCCAAATCTCTTGGCCCCAACTGTATTTCAATGATCTCTGTGTATGTTTGTCCTCCTCCACTAGACTGTGAACTGTGAAGGGCAGGAATTAAGTATCTCTAGTGCCTGACACACAGTAGGTATTTTTAGTTCTACAACAGAAGAATATCATTTATATCTGATTGTTTCCTCACTAAATTCCAAACTTCATAAGGTTAAAGATTACATCTGGTTTTAGGCACCATTAAACCACTGGTGCCTAATAACGCTTGGTTTTCAATAAATATTTTTGAATGAATGAATGAATAATTTTCATTCGCCTCTATGGCTCTGAGTCACATTCCGAGAAAAAGCAGCTTCTTGACATCCTTTTCTTTGTAATGATTTAGTATATTAAATTATTTATTGGATTAATCCTCCTATCGCAAACTGCTAGCGATTGTCCTTTCAACCCCCACCTCAACTGCCTGAATGTCATAAATCAGGGGGAGGTAGAGATGAAGTGAACAGATTAGCCTCCCATTTACAAGCTTGGTTTTCCCTGGGATGATTGTAAAGTCACACGTTCCTTGGTGTGACCCTATCACGACAAAATCTCCACGAGTTGATTGATTACGTATGATTATGACTAATTAAAGGTGAAAGATAACGGAAGAGTTAAACTAGTATTTGCTAGGCAAGGTTGTGATCTTTTTAAAAACATAGTCTTTCATTAGTGAAACAAGGAAAATATGTTCCTAATCACATTCCAAGCGGTTTGCTTGGATTGACAGTCTCACGGACAAAGGAGGGGACGAAACGCTCCCTCTTGACCGGCGTTTGCAGCCAGAGCTCGCGCCCTCCTGTAGGCGGGGCCACCGAAGCCTCCCGGGACCCAAAGGAGGAGGGGGCGGGGTCGAGGGCGGGTCCAGACCTCCAGGGGCGGGGCCGCAGCGGGCGAGGGGCAGGCTGGGAAGCGGCGCCATATTGGCGTCGGCCGCGCTGTATTGTCATAAATAGAGCCGGTTTTGTGGTGTTTTCACTACTCGGTTGGATGCCTCGGCCGTAGTAAGTGAGAAAGTGAGCGAGCAAGCGAGCTACAAGCGACCGGGGGAAAGGCGACAAGAGGAGAAGGGAAGAGCAAGAACTTGACTCCAGAGAGAAAGATACTCGCCGGTGTGGGAGACGCAGGAAGCGATGAAAGAGATGTCTGCGTAAGTGGTGGGGGACGGCGGTTGGGGGCGAAGCGGAGATGGGTGGGTTGGGGTGGTCGGCCCGGGACCCGGTGTCCGTTCCCTCCCCTCGCGCCCTGCCCGGAGCTCGCCCGAGTGGTCTCCTTCCCCGCTTCTGGCCGGTCGGCAAGGGCACCTCCCCTACACCCGGCAGCTCACCTGGCCACCTCTGCACAGACTCGGGGACTCCTGGAGTCCCCATCTGCCTTCTCCTGTCCCACCTCGGATGACGCCCCCAGACAGGGGAGCGGCCGGAGAGACGCGGGTGTCCGTGGGGAGAAATTCTCGGTCACTCTCCTGCCCCCAGCACTGTCTGAGCCCGTCTCTGCTCCTGTCTGCATTGGCGCAAATACCATCCCCCTACCTCCCCCTCCTCCCTCCCGACCGGCTGTCTCCTGGTCTTCAGGAGTGAATGACCTATCCCAGCTCATGCGTTTCTTTTTAATAAAAAGCTAGGATCTTTTCGCCCTCCCAAGCTTCCCCCACCGACCCACCGTATATCTACCGGTCTATACCTCCTGCTCACACTTTGATAAGTCAGAAACGGTTTCCGTGTTTGGCAGGATTTTGTTGTAGCTCCTAATATTTTGGTTTATTAGGAAATAATTTAATTTAAACAGAAAAATGCAGAGAATAACATAAGCATCATTTGTATAGTCACCATTCATCTCTCCCAAAGCATAGAATTCTTTATGTGTGTGGGGTGTGTGTACATACATATCTTTATTTAAAAGAAATCAAGCATTACAGATGCGTCTTAAGGATTCTTTTACCTCCTCCTATTCCATTTACCTCTCTTCCCAGAGTTCCACACAGTCTTGAACTTGATGTTTATTACTGCTTTTTTTAAAATGCTATTACAACATATGTAAGTGTCCATAATAATGGCATTGTTTTACTTGTTTTTAAGCTTTTTATAGCTGGTATCATACTTGTCATTTTGCAACTTCTGTAGTGCAACATAATATCTTTGAACTTTGTCCGTGTTAATATTTTCAACTCTCATTAATTCATCTTAACGACTGTATTGTATTCCATTGTAGGGATATACCTTAGCTTAGTCCCTTTTCTGTTAGTGACTGTTTGAGGTTGTTTCTGAGTGTTTACTGTTACAGTGTGGCAGTGAACAATCTTGTAAATGTTTCCTTGTACACTTGTACTAGAATTTCTCTAGGGTGTTTACTTATAAGTGAAATTGATGAGTTGAAGGGAATGTGGGATTCTTTTGGTTGACTTTCCCTCCTATTCCCCTCCAGATATGGGAGGTTCAGAACCATAGATTTGGAATTTATGTGCTATCTAGTACTGGTAGGGTAGGAAGCTTGATAGCCAATTTTTTCATCACATAGATAAGAAAGGGGGACCCAAGATCATAGTAGCAGAACAGACGTATTTGTTGAAGGGAGAATGGAGTGGTAGAAAGATCTTGGGTTTTGGAGTTCAGATTTTGGCTCTTCCTATCTCTTGGATCTTGGGTGCTTACCTGTAAAATGGCACTTATAATCAGTCTGTCCCATCCATTTACCATACATATTTAAACACACACAGACAATACTAAAATAGCTCTCTTAGAGGCAAAAAGCTAAATCTTTAAAAAGTTACTTGAAATAACTAATTGAAATTTTGTTTGTTCCACAGGAAGATTAATACCAGAAAGAAATTGAAGTCCCTGGTATTGGTGTTTCCCTTTTGTTTCTTTGAATCCTTTCAGAGGATATATAGGTTATTTTATCTTCCATTTGATTCTCCCTCCTTACCTAATGAAATCTTTAGCTAAAGAGCATGCCTAAGAACTTTGTAGCAATAAGATTTTTGACCAGTTAAAAATTAAAAAACAATCACTACTGTATTTTTGTGTGTTACTGTTTACAGAGCTAATTTATTCATTTAAAAGACTTCTTTTATATTTTGAGATTACATTCTTACTGTTGTTAATGGTCCTCAACATCGAATGGTGAAGATAGATTGTAGGTTTAGTTGGTTATTGCGTATGTTTATTTTTACTTTACTTTCTTAGAAAAATAAAGTTTTACCAACCCATGTTGGTCCCAAAATTTATTTTGAAATTACTGAAATCGATTGTACTTTATTCAAGACTATGATTTCCTGATAGCTAGAATCTTTTGGAGGTTGGCTTGTATTGTGCCAATAAAAGTGTAAAGAATTTCGTAGTTATTTAGTGTGAAAATGGTCTGAGTACCAATCTAAATGAAGAGGACAATTAACTAGAGTCACAAAATGTTAGGACTATAAATTCTGATTTGAGCAAAGGATGTTAATATAAGTTTCTCAAGGACAAATAGAGTCGTGATTTCTTTTTTTAAAAGCCAGGATATTTCACAAGGACCTTCTAATGGGATGTTTTTGTTTCTTTCCTGAGGGGGAAAGAACATTGTTCTTACTCAGAGCTTTCTTTCAAGTGGCTGCCTGCTTTTCAAAGATTGAATATAGATGGTACTTGACTTAAGTCCACAGGGTGTAGTGGAGGTGGCCCTGGCCCAGCTCCCATTCAGGCTTTTTGCATTTGAGCTAAGTGGTGCTGGCACAGTTGTCCTGATGCCAACACATGCTGCTTTTGGCTTGAAAAGACATCCTAACCATGAAAGCTGGAGGAGTATGAATAGCCCTTCATCAAAATAAACACAAAATACCCTTTTTTCCCCTTAAAAAAAAAAAGCGCCTGCTGCAACTGTTAATACTAAGTAAACTTTTAAGGTAGCTAAATTAATGAGTGTATTGAGAGATTAACTATATCAGTATGATCTGATACTTTAAATTTTTTTCTGCTGTTTCATTTTTCTTGAACAGAAACACCATGCTGGACAGCCAGCGTCAACAAAAGCATTATGGAATCACTTCTCCAATTAGTTTGGCATGTCCTAAAGAAATTGATCATATTTACACACAGAAATTAATTGATGCTATGAAACCATTTGGAGTGTTTGAAGATGAGGAAGAATTGAACCACAGGTATGTCATTTAAAAATGCAAAATATTTTATAGTACGTTATTTAATCATTAATTCTGCAAATGTAAAGTAACTCCCATGCCCCTGCCTAGGGATGCAAAAAATGACAAAATGAAGAGAAATTTTGGCCCACTTAGAGCTTATATTTTAGGTGGAGGTTAGGGGAAAAGACTGACAATAAGCCAGATAAATAAAATAAACAGAATGTTACAAATGACATATGCTGCTGAGAAAAATGAAGCTGGAAGTAGAGGTTATCTGGAAGGCCTTATTGACATTTAGGGGAAAATTTCAAAGTGAGAGAGGGAACTATATAGATATCTGAGGGAAGAGCACTCTAGCAGAAGATTAGAGGCGGGAGTGTACCTGCTATATGTAAGGAATTAGATAGTAAGGTAACCTGGGTATCCAGAGCAAAGTAAGTAAACGGGTGAATGTGGGCTCAAAGAACTTGAGGTTGGGAAGTTGCTTGGAGGGAGAGCTAGGTCACTTAGGACCTTGTAAGTCACTGTAAAAGTTTTGGCTTTTAGTCTGAGTGAAATCAGAAGCCATTAGGTTTTTGAGCAGAAGATTAACCTGATTTACTCATGTTTTAATGCAGTCACTCTGGCTGCTATATTGAGAAGAGCCTGAACAGGGATCAAGGGCACAAGTCAGGAGACTGGTTAGGAGGCTATGATAAGAACCCAGGGAGGAAAGGATGGAGGGTTAAACTAAGGGGGATATTAGTGGAGGTGATAAGAAGTAGAATTCTGGATATATTTTAAAGGTAAGGTAAGGTTGTTTAATGACTGGAATATATGCGAGAGACAGAGGTTAAGGATGATGCCAAGGTTTTGGGTCTTAGCACCTCAAAGGATAGAGTTCATTACCCGGAGAAGGCTGAGGGAGAAGCAAGTTTGGACATCTCAGGAATTCCATTTTTCATATGTTATCCTTGAGATGTCTAAACTCTACTTTTCTTCTCTCTTCTTTTTTTTAATGTGGATTTAGATATACTATTGGTTGAAAGTTTGGTTTAATATCAAACTGCTGTTTTTAAGTAATATTTTTTTTCTTTTTTTTTAAGATTTTATTTATTCATTTGATAGATCACAAGTAGGCAGAGAGAAGGGGGGGTGGAAACAGGCTCCCTGCTGAGCAGAGAGGCCCAATGCAAGGCTCGATCCCAGGACCACTGAGCCACCCAGGCACCCAAGTAATATTATTTCTTAAAAATTAGTCAATATTTGAAGCCTGGGTGGCTCAGTCCATTAAGCATCTGCCTTTGGCTCAGGTCATGATCCCAGGGTCCTGGGATCCAGTCCTACATCAGGCTCCCTGCTCAGCAGGGAGTCTGCTTCTCCCTCTCCTTCTACCCCTCCCTCTATATTCTTGCTCTTTCTCTCTCTTAAATAAACAAGATCTTTTTTAAAAAATTAGCCAATATTTAATTTATCTGTTTTAATTATCCAAAGATCTCTGACTGTAGATGGGAGAATGCTAACCTCTATCACCACATTGAGTTTATTTTATTCCATAGTAAGGGCAAGAAAGTTGACAATTCAGTTGGCCTCTGCAGACTTATTGAAGGTAATTTTGATTTTTTATTAAACTTCTTGAATTTTCAGGGTAGCTCAGAGACCCACATACTATCACAATCGTCATTTCTTTGGAACTCTTGGGGACCTAACAGCATCAAAGAGATGTGCCATGTATTGACAGATGTGACAGCATTAGCCTATATATAATGTGCTTTTACTCTGGCGCCAACATAAAGATTCTGCCTACAGTTTAATTACTTTTTTAAATACTCTTTTTGGGTTTTCTTAGTTTTGATCTAAAGCATGTTATTTTTTATTATAGGCTTGTTGTTCTTGGTAAATTGAACAATTTAGTAAAAGAATGGATTTCTGATGTCAGTGAGAGTAAGGTAAGACTCTAAACTCGTTGGATTCAGTTTCATTATGTCCTGATCATTAGTTCTAGTAATAAGATGCAGGAGTTGAAAATAATCTGAAATAGACTTTTTGGTATACTTGGTAATGAATTGGTCTAGACAGTTGAGTCTCTGAATAATGATAATGAGATAAATAAATGAGAATTTACCCCAGTGTCTAGCTACAATCCTACATAGATTTCCTGCTTGAATTATATGTGGTGTACCAAAATTTAAATATCAAGGGATTTTACTTTAAAAGCCAGATTTCAGACATCTTGTGAAATACCAGATCTGGCAACATTGGGCCTGCCTTGTGCAAGGCAGGAATAGGCTTGAATGGAATTGGGCTTCTGCCCTCCAGTCCCTTGTGGCCCCACCATCCTGCTCTCTCTGACATAGCACCTGTCATTTATCAGTCAGTTTCTGGGTTTCTTATGTGTACCCTCCATTTGCATACCTGCCTAACCCCTGAGATACAGGAGTTTGCAAATCCTAATTTATAATTATGTGACTTTTTTCCCTCCAGTAGCTTATTTTTCTTCTAAAACAGGTTACATATTTCTTGCTTTCTTAGAGTATTTTGGATGTAATTGAATTTTCATATGTTTGGGAATCATCACTGAATATTATTTTAGTGGCTGTACTTAATCAAAGTGGGGTGTATGCAACTGGGTGATACCATTTGCCCCTTCACTGAGTGACCCAAACTGTTGTATTTTAAGTTTTGTTTGCTTTTTATAATTTTTATAGTTTTCCCATCTTTTTCCCTTAACAGTTAGCTGAAAGTTAATATATCACAGCAGTCAACGTGTCTCTCTGTAAACTCTTCTCCTTAATCTGCCTGGATTTAGAAATTAGATAAACACCTGTTAGAATTCTTTCTTTTGCAAATTTTAGTATTTCTTTCTGTGCCTATGGCACATGTTTAAAATTGGTTCTTTTCAACAGAATAAGGTCATGAGGGACTCTGCTAAGTCTGCAGTCATCAGGTTTAAATAAATGGTCTTTCTGTTGTTTACTTTTGCTGCCAAACAGCTCTCTGACTCATTTGTGAACTCTCAGCAGGGTTATCAGTAGTTGAGATTTTCAGATAAGTTGAATTCTGAGCAGGTGAAATGCTAGTCATGAGAAACAAAAAAAAATTCATGTTTGTTTTTCTGCTACTAGGTAATCAGCTCCATAAGAAAAAAACCTGTCTTGGTCACCTACATAATCTCAGGACAGAGCTCAGGCATTAAGTAAATGTTAAAGAAATCTGTTGTCCCTCTCTGATCAGCCCATAAATATTATGGGTGTGGAAACCAAATACTCAAATTGCTAGAATTATTTTAAAATCATAAGCTTTATGACTTTGTGTGGTCTTTATGTCAACTATTGTGGTTGTAGCACGGTCTTTGCTTCCATCCCTATTCTAGAATGCATTTGAAATAAATGAAGTATTATCTTTCACAAAAGAGACTATATTAATTTGTTGAGAGATGTACCTAACTAATTTTATTCAGGGTTTCTTCACACTTAACAGAAAAATCTGGTAATACTCTGTTTCCAGGTCAAAAGGTGGTTTTTTGGTTTGTTTTTTGTTTTTTTAAATTGCTTTTTCTCCCATTTTACTAATATTAATACTTTAATCTGCAGAAAGCAATTGCTGGTTTACATTTAGTTTCTAGGCATAAAAATTTAAGACTTCGCCATAATTTGGATTTTCTTTTTAAGCAAAGTGAATAAAATATCTCATTAAAAATTTTTTTAAATTGTTTTTTATATCTTCCACTGGGGATAAAGTGATTTTTTTTTCATTTTCTGTATCAGCTATTCCTTTGATTTGTGCATATTTTAGTTCAGAAAATACCAGAAGGGTTTGAGTTAGAGCAAAGATCATTTGACTGTTCCACGTACAATTGGGATATTTAAGCTATAAGCCATCTAGAACTCAAACAGATCATTTTAGTTAAATACTGGTTTGTGGTAAAAACATTTTACTTTGATTGGTGTACCACTTTCTCATTACTTGTGCAAGAATCTTGCTTTTCAAAGTAGGAAAGTAAACTAAGATAGAAAGTAGGAAGGTAAACCAAAAGGTCCTATCTTCTCTATCCTTTTGATTCATATTAATAAATTTACTGACTTCTTCTAGTTCTGAAATCATGTGTGGTAGTCGTAAACATTAATATCCATTCAACAGAGGAAGTAACAAATACAATATCCTGTTACATAGATAGTTTTATTAAGTTAATTAAGGGATATTATTCTTTGAAGCTTACACTGGGCATTATAAAAAAATAAGAGAGATAGTAGATACAGTTCTTATTTTCAAGGAGTTTAAATATAGTTGAGAGGATGGAACATGTATTCAGGGGGAAAAGGTCAGTAATAAATGTAGTATAAAAAATTTAAAGATAATAGTGAAGGAGCACAGAAGGAAAAGAGCTTCTTACAGAAGGGGTGGATCATCAGAGAAGGCTTCATGAAAAAGGTGGAACTTGAACTTTGAAAAAACAGATGGTGTTGAGATACCCAGAGAAGATGGGCAAGCATTTGAGGTGGGGAGAATGGCAAGTGCAGTGGAAAGGATACTGGATTATGTAACATGTCGGCAGTTGGACATTCAAAAGGGAGTATCAGGAGACAAGGCAACAAAGATCCCGTAAGAGTACATTGTGGAGATTCTCAGGATCCAAGGATCCTTACCTCAGTAGTCAGAGAAGAATGCATTAGCAATGTTTGAGCAGAAGAGTTATATAATAGAGTAAGAACATCAAGTGAATTTTCTGAAAAATGGAATAGGAGAAAATGAGGTCAAGAAGGTAGCTTAAGATTCTATTAAAGCCTAGAATTAAGGCACAGTAGTTGAATGAAAAGGAGGTGACATGTAGGGATATAAGCTAAGAATTGGTAAGCCAAGAAGAATAATGACTATAGGTACAGGTATTAAGGAAAATGAGGAACAGAAAGAAATCAGAAGGGATACCTGTTTTATCATAGGAAGAATATTTTGTTTTAAGCAGGATATTGAAGTGGATCAGGATGTATGAGTAGAAAGTACCTGATGGGAAGTTAGAATTGGCTCCAGAGAAAGGTGAAGAGAAGCCTTATAGTTCTGGTACAGTCCAAAAAATTTCACTAAAGATGTTAAATTACCTCGTATAAGGAGGTCTTTTCAAGATGACCACTTTCTTGCAGAAAGGTTGCATAAATTCAATCAAGAAATTAAGCATATTTTTCCCAGAAACTAATGGGGAAGTGGAATCAGATAAGTGTATGATACTATAGAGAACTGAAAGTGCATTAGTTTGGTAGTTAAGAGTTCCTTGGTGACTTTAGAAGGATGGAGTCAAAGACAGGCAATTGGAAGGGGACAAGTAGGATCAAGTGATAAAAAATGGTTTTCTTATGAGAGATGTGTGCATGTATAGTAGGTATGAATTTGTTTTGTCTTCCCTCTGGGAATACTCTCATTACTTCAAGCTGCAGCCCAAAGAGCTCTGAAGTACTTTCAGAAATCTCAATTTCCCAAAGTTGACAAATATATTATATATTGGTAGTATTTAGGCAATTTTTATGCTAAATAATTTCAACAATCAAATGCCATTTGTTTAATTTAATTTAATTTAATTTTAGAATCTCCCACCTTCTGTTGTGGCTACTGTTGGTGGTAAAATTTTCACGTTTGGCTCCTATAGGCTTGGAGTACACACCAAAGGTAACTGCTTTTCTGTGTTCTGATAAAAACTTTCAGTAACAAACTCTTACTTGTTATTCGTAATTAGAAGTACAGAAGAAAAACCCATTATCTCACTACTCAGAGCTAATCATTGTTAACATTTTCCTGTATTCATCTTACATATTTTCTTCTGAACATAATGTTTTTACATGTTTTAACAAAAATATAGTGCATACTTAATATAGTCTTAATTAGAAATACTTTGATTTGCAGGAGCTGACATTGATGCACTTTGTGTAGCTCCAAGACATGTGGAGAGATCTGATTTTTTTCAGTCTTTTTTTGAAAAACTGAAACATCAAGATGGCATTAGAAACTTAAGAGTAAGTATCCTCTGGTATTTAATATTTTGAACTCGTTGTTAACAAAAACTTGGGCTTATGATTGTTGAAATACTTCTTAAGAAGTTGCTATATCTTTTTAAAATAACAGATGGTTAAGAACATGGACTTTATAGTTAATACAGACCTGGGTTTGAATCTAGAATCTATGACATATTAGCTCTTAGATTTTAAGTTACCTGTGTTCTTTGAGCCTAGTTTCCTCAAAGCTGTAAGATGGAGATGTAGAGAAAACTTTTTTAAAGGTTTTTCTGAGGATCGGTGAGATAATTGACATTAATATTGACTAATATTTGATAAGTGGTTGATGCATATCAAATGATAGCTGTTAGTATGTGTAAGATTCAGTTAGTCACTCTGTGTGCATATCTAGCCATTCATTTAGTAAATGAAATTTCAACGCCAGTGATTTGTCAGATACTATCCTTAGTCCCACAGATACAGTAGTGAACAAGACATAGTTTATGGGAGGGAGGGATTAGGGGAACTAAACAAACATAGCTTTAACGCAGTCTAAAGTGCTAGGGTAAGTTGAAAGGATCTGTATTATTTGGGCATTTGGGAATGGAGAAGGAGGTTAAGAATTTGTTAGGTTGGGGGATTAAGGAAGCTCAGAAAGCGGACATTTCTACTGATTCTAAATTACCTTGTATTTTTTAATAGATTAATCATGAGCTCTGATTATATTTTAATTTCCAACACTAGTGTTTTTTGTAAATAATCGGTTTTCAATTTAATCTCAGCAAATAGTGAGTACCCAAATGATAGCAGTTCTGTCTGCCAGTTTCTGATGAGTATCTTTAGGAGGATAAATAAATTAGATAATTACTGTCATGACATTTTCTGTATCTGAAATAACACAGTCACAGAGTAAAAGCAATTACTTACTTGGAATGTGATACCAAGAACATTTTCACTTTTTAGCAAAGGTATTCACATCATTGGCAGCTAGGAAGGATAGAGAAAGGATTACACCTTTAGAGGATTCTTTATGTGTTTTAATTGTTGTCCTCTTTTGTAGGCTGTAGAAGATGCCTTTGTACCTGTTATAAAATTTGAATTTGATGGAATTGAAGTAAGTGTTTAATATTTTTTCTGACTTTGCAACTGAATTAATACATAAGGCTTTTTTCAGTTTTGTTTTGTTTTTTTAAATCAGACCAACAAAGACACATATTTTAAAGAATCAAATTGTTTTTAAATAGTTACTTACCTTTTTTTCTCCTGTATCTATTGACTTCTCACTATGGAAAATGAACCAGCTTCCATCCCTACCCCATGATTTTTATAGACACCCTTCTCGTTCCTATAATCTAAAATAATTGTGTTATAATTTTGATTGGATCAATATTCAGTGTTTACATTATTATCTTATAAATAATGTTTGAAACTGAGCACAAAGTGTACTAGATTATCATTCTTTGTGGCATTTTGTTTCTTGAGAGTTAATTAATTGTTTTGCCTTTTGTTTGCTTGGTTTTTATACTTAACACTAATTAAAAGTCAGTCTCTGCTAGCTGTCTGAATCTCCTCTAAATAGATTTAGATTTCTCAGGTGTTCCATCATTATCATCTTAAAAAAATATATGAGTCTTCTCACATGTTGGATTCCACACCGGTTGTTCTCCATGAAGGAGAAACAGCTGGCATCCTGGATCTTTCTTTACTATCATCCTGGGATTTCTTTTTGCCTTTGTCTAGAGTTCTCTTCTTTTTTGACTGTCGTTTTAGTGTCATTCATCCACTAGCTTCCTGTGAAAGAGCACATATTTTTGAGATCCTGTGTGTTTAAGTAAAATGTCTTCATTTTGTTCTTACACCAAAATAATAGTTTGGCTGAGTATAGAGTTCTAGGTATCTCAGAATTTTGAAAGCCTTGCTTCATTGTCTTCTACCTTTCATGCTGTGTGGAAAAGTGTGATGCCATATTGATTTCTCATCCTTTGTGACCTCTCTTGTCTCTTTGGACACTTAATATGATCTTTTTATTCCTGGGCTTCATAGTTGTAAAATTCATGGTAACGTACTTTGGTATGTGTCTTTTCAACCAAATATGCTAGGCACTCAGTAGTCCTCTTCCACTTTGGAAATTCCTGTCCTTTCAGTCATGGAAATTGTATTGAATTCTATTGGATTTCCTGCCTTTGTTTTCTCTCTTTTTTTCTGTATATTGGACAGCCATATCTCTATATTTCTGCTTTGGGGGGTTTTCTCATCTTCCAAGCTTCCTATTTTCCATTTCTGCTGTCATATTTTTAATTTCTAAGAATAACTTTTTTATTTTTCTAAATGTTCCTTTCTATTTATGTATGTATTTATAGCTACCTATCCTTTCCTGGATACAATATTTTTTTATCTCTGCTTTCTTAAATCTGCTAAGTCTGTTACCACTTATCCATCTTCTTCCATAGTTTTTGCTGTTATCTCCTTTTATTCCCTTCATCCTAGTGGGTTATGCCTTTAGAAAACAAAATTAAATTTAAAAAAAAAAAAGAAATTTTACTGGGTGTTTTAGTGGGGTTTCAAGAGGGAGTGAATGTAAATGTGTGTTGGATCTGCCATCTTTATCTAGAAATTCATTCATAAGATTTTGATGTTCTTTTTAATGCTTGGCATATATGCTAAAATTAAAATGCTTTCCCTTAATTTGTGACTTTAATTACCCTCACACAACTTTGCAGTGATTTTCCCATGTGAGATTGCCTACATAATCTTTTTGAAGTTTTGGTAGAACTTCCCAAACTAATAATTAGAACTTTATACTTTTGAGGTTGGGTGGGTGGGGGGAGAATGGACTAGAAGGAGAAAAAGTAATATTTTTCTCTTTTTTTGCATCTTTCCAAAGATTGATCTAGTCTTTGCAAGACTGGCAATTCAAACCATATCAGATAATTTAGATCTAAGAGACGACTCTCGACTGAGAAGCCTTGATATAAGGTGTATTCGCAGCCTAAATGGTAAGCTTCTAAAAAGAAATCTCAGATATCTGCTTGAAAACAATTAGACAGATCTTTTTTGCAGAACTATTAATGGACGTTTTAAGGGATTGGATTAACTCAGTTAAAAATGATGTGATTTTCTTGATATAGATAATCTGAGCACATTTAGGCATTTTAAAAGACATACATTTATTTGAAATGTTTATGTTTATAGTGATGGTGCGCAGACTAGATGGTCTCAGGATGCCTTTGCGCTCTAAAAAGTTTATTGAGAAACCCCAAAGATCTTCCATTTATGTGGGTTATATCTGTCAATATATACCATATTAGAAATAAAAACAAAATTTTAAAGCATTTATTTCAAAATAACCCATTCTAAGTGAATATAAGTATGTTTTTGTGTGAGACTGGCTTTTTTTTTTTGGCATATTTGCAAAACTTTTTGACTTAATGGAAGATAGCTAGATTCCCATATCTGTCTTTTCAGTCAATTAATTTCTTGTAATGTTTTGATTGAAGCACAGGTAGAATCTGACCTCTTAAAGATACATAATTGGAAAAGAGAGGAGAATTTTAATAGCCTTTTCAGAAAATTGTGGATATTCTTTGATAATACAGCAAAATTTGACCAGTGACAGTATCCTTTTTCTTTTCAACAGCTTTATTGAGGTATAATTACATGTCATAAAATTTGTTCTTTTTAGTACAATTCTGTAGTATTTACCATATTCCCAGAGTTGTACGCTATAATGCAATTTTAGAACATTTTTGTTATCTTCAAAAGATCCCTCTTACACATTTACAGTCATTCTCCTTTCCAACCCCAAGTCCTGGGCAACCACTGTTCTACTTTGTGTCTGTAGATTTGCCTTTTCTGGACATTTCATGTAAATGGGATCATGCAATATGTGGTATTTTGTGTCTGGCTTCTTTCACTTAACATAGTGTTTGTGAGGTCTGTCCATGTTTGTAGCATATATCAGAAGTTTGTTCCTTTTTATTGGTGAGTAAAAGTGTTTTTTTAAAGGTTAATTTGAATATCGACTCTAAAACCACATCAATTAACTTTTTATACTCTTACATTAAAATCTGTTGGTCTCTTGTTCTTTGAATAAATCTTTTACCCATACATGATTTTGTACTGTCATGCCTTGGTCATTAGGAAATTACTGGTTCACAAGGTTATTTGGATCTTCAAAATATTAACACACATTTCATTATAAAATATCCAGGAAAATCACATTCATTAATATCACCCAGTCTCATCAGAAAAGTCTTTAAATATTGGAAAGCTGTCAGTCTCACAGTAGCAGATACTAGTTGTCCAAAATTCTAATTTTTACTTGAAAGCTCAAATTTTATTATTGGTAACAAGTTTTGTCATTTGTTTTCCTTGAAGTGAGGGGCTCACTTTGTTCATTTTTTAGGATTCTTCTAAGTAAAACTGGTGTTCCTTGAAAAAAAACAGGTAGTTCAGCTTTCTTTAACTTGCTCAAACATTGGATGGGTTCCTTTCCTGTTTTCTAACTTAAAATGTGTGGTGGTGAAAATAATTATTTACTAGTACAGTTTGTTGCTAAAGCTTTGGTACCAGTAAGTTTAGCTACCACTGCTTTTGTACCACTAGTGCAAATGTTAACACAGTAAAGAGGCAAAGCTTTATTGTTATTATACAAAAGGTTTGACAAACTTAAAAAAAAAAAAATAGGTTAACCTAGCATTCCCAAGGGTCCAAGACTTCTCTCTGAGAACAAAACACTGGCTTATAGCATCTTTTATCACTGCATTTTTATTGTACTTGCAGAGTACAACAGTAAATCACAGTGTTTGTGAAATAAGGTGTATGTTAAAGCAATTGTTATGGCTTTACTGTTTTGTTTTATAAGTTGGGGACATTTGATTAGCAGTAAAGACGGTGAAAAAAGCTAAACTTACTCAGATCCATCTCTTATTTTAATATTGAATTACATTAGCCATGTACTTTTAATTCTTTGAAAGTAAAGTAATTTCTCATATATGTGCTAAATTTCAAATACATAGAGAAAATAAGCCCACATTTTATTATCTTTGGTAGTTTTAGCATTTGAGAATCTGGAAATTAGAAGTGTGTCTGAATTAACTAGATTTTGTTGTGTAATGATAAATGAATGCTTTATCTTTTTCAGGATGTAGAGTTACTGATGAAATTTTGCATTTAGTGCCAAATAAAGAAACTTTTAGACTCACCCTAAGAGCAGTCAAATTATGGGCAAAACGTAAGTATCCCACATCTTTTTTAAGTTTGCATTATAAAATTACAGTTTTCAGTTGCTAATGATAGAAGCACATATGGAAACTCCTGAGTCTTTTTATACTGTTGGGAATTGAGGTCCAGTAGATTTTGGAGAATCCTGTTTTTCACGTACAGTGGTTATGGTGCTCTGAGGGGTGGCTCTACCCTCCTGTTCTTTGGTTGAAAACTAAAACCTCCTGACTTTTCATCTCCAGTTTTAGCCAGGCAGTCAGAAGGAGTTAGAACTGGAAGAGTGAAACCTTCACTATTCTTCAAGTCCTCTGTGGGCAGGACCATCTTACTCATTTTTGTCTTCCCATTACCAGCAGCATGTAGTTTGTAGTAGGTATGCCGTAAATTTATTAAATGAAGAACCTACAGTGATAGTTTCAACTTTTTTTTTTTATGTTACAACATTTTTCTAGTAAAGCCTGGAACTAATTTATATATACACATAGGATATGGTTCATAAAAGACCCAATCCTGAGCTGGCATAGCACATTTTCTATTATTTGTAACTACATTTAAGTAGTGCTATACTTCTGGCACCAGGTTTTACCTAGTCTAAAACCACACTCTCTAATAAAACTTTTTGTGATGATGGAAATACTTCATATCTATGCTATCCAAAAGTAATCATGTAGCTATTGAGCACTTGAAATGTGCAACCAAGGAACTGAATTTTAAAATTAAATTTACAATTTAAAATTAAACAGCATCTTAGAGAAGTAAAAGCATATGACCACACAAAAATTTGTGCACACATAGGGCTTATGGGTGGCTTAGTTTTGTTAAGCGTCTGACTCTGGATTTTGGCCCAGGTCATGATCTCTAGGTCTTAGAATCAAGCCCTGCTTTGGGCTCCATGCTCAGGGGAGTCTGCTTCTTTCCCTCTGCCTGTGCCCCACCCCCACTCACATACACACACACACACACACACACACACACACTCAAATCTTTAAAAAAAAATTTATGCACAGATATTTTTAGCATTCTCATAATTCAAAAAGAGACAACCTTATGTTTATAATCTGATGAATAGATAAACAAAAGATGATATATCCATAATATGGAATGTTGGAATATTACTTGGCAATAAAAAGGACTGAGTTAAATCCCATTTATGTGAAATGTCCAGAATAGGCAAATCTATAAAGATAGAAGAATATTCCTTGCCTCAGTCTGGGAGGATTGAGAGCAAACAGGAGAGGAATGACTGTTAACGGTTTCTCTTTGGGGTGATGAAAGTGTTCCAGAATTGATTATGGTGGTGGCTACACAACTCTGTGAATATACTAAAAGCCATTAATTTTTAACATTTTACATTGATGAAACCTATGCTATATGAATGATATCTCCGTAAAGCTGTTAACCAAAAAAATGCTACATGTGATTTGTGGCTACCATATTGGAAGTACATACCTAAAAAGACCTTTAAGCAAGTAGGATTTGTCCTTGGGCTCAGTTAACCTTACATAGTCAGGATAAAGTAATTTGCAAGAAAGGGATATCACAATTTTTCTTTCCTTACAGATTAGATTAAATACCATGTCTTGTCAATTCTTAGATGCATATTTTACATACTTTAACATATCTGAAATTGACATTTTTTATCTTTCTTTCTTGATTAGTGGGACATAAAATAATGCTGTATTATGTAATTGAGTACCCAATAGGTTTGATGAAATATGGTAATACTTTTTTATAGATTGCTCTAAGAAACAATTTAAGAGAAATGACTGATATCAATGGTATATTGTACTTTATGGAGAGAGATTGAAATTCTGCAAAATACTGAAGTTAGTCCAGCTTTACGCTTGATTTTAAAATGCCCATGAATATGATTACTAATGAAAAGTTTATTCTTTCTACTTGTAAACCCTCTAGATATCTTTCCTCCTTCCTTTCATTTCTTTCTCAAGTATAGCTATTGAAAAGGGGGAAATTCCAGTGTTATATCAATAGAGCCTGGTTCGGCAATCAGAACTGAGGCAGGGAACTGAGGTGTCTGTTTTGGAGAAGTAGGGGGACAAGATGCAGCTTATAGTTTACTAATAAAAGGTCTGCTTATTGATTGTATAATGTTATTTCCAGAGGGGAAAGGATAACTAAGAACAGTCGTAGGAACTAAGTTATCCCATTCCTTATAGTTGAATGTCATGGATGGTAGATTCTAACAATAATTAACAAATATATTTATTTTCTAGGACGTGGTATTTATTCCAACATGCTGGGATTCCTTGGTGGTGTCTCCTGGGCAATGCTAGTTGCAAGAACTTGTCAATTATACCCAAATGCAGCAGCTTCTACTTTAGTTCATAAGTTCTTTTTAGTTTTTTCCAAGTGGTAAGTATTCATATGCATACTTTATTTACTAGTTTCTGCCTTTACATAAATTTGTTCAGCAATTTAAGAGAGATGCATAGACTTTTTCTCTTGTCTTCCGTTCCTTTTAAGTTAAAAGTTTAAAGACATCAAATTTGAGACAATGATAAGATACCACATGGCGCTTTCTCCTGGGGTTGGGAGAGGTCTGTAAATGTAGGCTTTTAGCTTGAGAGTGGTCGCAATTATTTGCCTCTGATGACTAGCTACATATAGATTAATGTCTTATATGTAAAACGGAAGTGATAATCATAGCTACTATGTGGATTTATTAGTATTTTCAGTAAAGTTCGTCCTTGTTGCTATTAAGTTATCAGAGTTAAATCCATGTGAGCAGATAGAAGGAAGGGGAAAACTCAGATTTTTTTTTTTTAATTTATCTATTTATTTTAGAGTGGGGAGTGGGCAGCGGGAGAGAAGGAATCTTAAGCAGTGTCCATGCCCAGCGCAGAGCCTAATGGGCTCAATTTCATGACCCTGAGATCATGACCTGACCTGAGCCAAAATCAAGAGTCAGACACTTAACTGACTGAGGCACCGAGGTGCCCCTGGAAAATTCAGATTCAAATTAATTACAGCTTAATGAGCTAAACAGTATTTGCCCTTTCAGAAGACACATTTAAAATATAACCACTTTGTATACTTGCTTCCCTTGCCCATTTGTTTTTTTCAATACCAAATACCCATCCACAGTGTTTGCTCTATGGAAGTTAAGAGAGATTCTAATGATTTTAACATTTCATAGAGTTCCTGAAGTGAGACCTGTGTGAATTAATTTGCCTTATTTATGTTAGGGAATGGCCAAATCCTGTGCTGCTGAAGCAACCAGAAGAAAGCAATTTAAATTTGCCTGTTTGGGATCCTCGGGTATGTGACTTATTACTAAAACTGAACCTTTCTAGGTAAAGGATGATTCTCTAAATTGCAATCTAAAAATAATTCTTATTTCTGCTCATCTTCCTTCTGTATAGCTATAGTTCTTTCTGTCTGCTGTGTTTTTTGGTGCAGGTGATATCTCAAATTCTGATCCAAATGTTATGTCATTAAAAATCACCCATATAAAAGTAGATGAGTGGGTGTATCAACCAAAATGTCATAATCCATCATTAAAAACTCTTATAAGTAATTAGTTATAACTAATAAAGTGCTGAAGTATATAAAAGATTTACTTTGCCCTGCAGTTTAAAGCAGACTCATGGTTCTAAGCTAGCATAACTCTCACCTTGCATTTTCATTTGCTTTTAGAGTGAGTGCTCTTTCCTCTGAGTTACTTATAGTGAGTTGCCCATTGAGTGGGTGCAGAAAGATTAAGAATCATTGGATTAATAATGCTTTTTGCAACTATGATACTGTATTTTCTTGGTTCTGAAAGACCATTATTTATAAGATACACCATCAGTTTAACAGCTTTTCAGAGGAAAAATACACTTTTACAGAGGTGCCTTTGAATATCAGACATACCTGACTTCAGAAATAAATGTAGTTGGGGAGGGAAAATGTACTTATTAGAATTGGGGAAATGTAGTATTAAATTTATATTTCATATTCTTCAGACTTTTGGGGAAATGAAGTGAGGACAACTGAAATAGGAGAATAGATCAATTATTCTGCTTCTAATTTCACAGGTAAATCCATCAGATAGGTATCATCTCATGCCCATAATCACCCCTGCCTACCCACAGCAGAATTCTACGTATAATGTGTCCACCTCAACTCGAACAGTAATGGTAGAAGAATTTAAACAAGGTAAACCTGTTGGCCCTTTCCCACAAGTTTTTGATTTACAACAGTTTTATTCTAAATTGCAGTTATGCCTGTTATTTCTAAAAATTCTTTCAAATATGTATTTATTCTTCCAGTAATCGTTTTCCAAAATATAGTAAGTCCAAAATGGAGCCAGCCCAATCTGTTTGAAATTGATTTTTGTGTTCTGAGAAATATATATATATATGTTTCCCTTTAGAGTTTGGTAGAGTTCGAGGTTTTGGGATAGAGTGATACAGAAGCCCGTTTCCAAATCAGTCTCTCTCTTGTTTTTAATTTAGGTCTTGCAGTCACAGATGAAATCCTTCAAGGGAAATCAGACTGGTCCAAACTACTTGAGCCACCAAATTTTTTTCAAAAGTATAGGTATTTGAAATTTTGTATTTTTTGTGTGTGTGTTTAAAGAAGAATGTTAAACTTACAAAGTTAATATGTGGTGGGTGACTTGGTCACATATATTTCAAGTGAGGTAGAGAATAGGTTAGCAGAAATCATAAATGTTGAGTTTGTGTATTCTAGTAGTATCTAACCCAGTATTAGTGGTGTTTGTTTTAGTGAATCGTTTTTAATTGCAGGGTCTAGAATTAATTTTTTGAAAATCAGAGCATGTTCTAATTTTCATAAGCTGTGTGCCTGCACTAGTTCTTTTGTTCAGTGGGAGGATGAAAGAACAAGTAATGATGGAAGAGCAGACCCTAACTATGTTTCTGGCTTTTTTTCCCCTCCAATTGTGGCTAAAAATTCTTCATAGACATTATATAGTATTGACTGCCAGTGCATCAACAGAAGAAAACCATCTAGAGTGGTAAGACTGATATTCAAGTTGTGTACTTACTTTGTAGTGATAACATTTTTATGATGTTTTACCGTTTACAAAACATTTATCCTTAAAATTATTAAATCATATTGTTTACATGACTGTGCAGCATCAGTGTTTAAGAAATACTGTCAAATCAATGTTTCAGACTTAGAAGTAACATAAAATAACGGTATGTGTATAGTCTTTGCCTTTTGCCACTTCTCAGTCAGATTTAAGCAAAATTGTGAGGCACTTCGAATGAATCTGTTACCTCTTACTGACTTTTCCATTCTTGCCATCACGTTTCCCCATCGAAACTAGAAGGAAAATACATTTTTTGTATTCTTTTAATTTAGGAGATTAGTGGCATGAAAGCTTCTGTCAGCAGATAAGGGAAGCATTTTTGGTCAAGCAGCAGTGCATTATTTCTAGTGAATCCAAATTCATTCCCTCTGCCTCCAGTGTACTGACATGCCTAACTCTTATCAGGCAGAAGCTTTTAGGCCACCAGAAATGGTTTTGCTTTCCTCAGGTGTGACCTCTGGGAAGGGAAACATGATACTGTTTTATTTTTGATTCCAAAGTTTAGTGCTTATTTTATTGGTAATTAGACACTGAAAAGAATCCTGTCACCACAATGGAATATTTCATTTGTAGGGGTGCCTGGGTGGCTTAGTTGGTTAAGCTTCTGATTCTTGGTTTTGGCTCTGGTCATGATCTCAGAGTCATGGGATCAAGCCCCTGGTTGGGCTCCAGGCTCAGTGTGAAGTCTGCTTATCTCTCTCCCTCTGCTTCTCCCCCACTTGAATACAGCGCTCTCACTCTCTCACTCTCAATAAATAAATAAAATCTTAAAAAAAAAAAGAAAAGAATATTTCATTTGTCTATATTGGAAATTGGGAAACTACGGTCTGGGCCAAATCTAGTTTGCCACATGTTTTTAAAATAAAGTTTTATTGAGGGGGCGCCTGAGTGGGCTCAGTTGAATGAGCATGTGACTTGATTTGGGGGTTGTGAGTTTGAGCCCCATGTTAGGTATAGAGATCACTAAATAAAAAATAAATGAACTTTAAAAATTTTAAATAAAGTTTTCTTGAAATAGAGCCATGCTCACTCATTTATATATTGTCTGGCCTCTTTCCTGCTATATGGCAGAGTTGAATAGTTGCAACAGAAATTGGCCCACAAAGCCTAAAATATTTACTATCTGCCCCTTGTTAGAAAGTTTGCCAACCTCTCATTTAGATAACACTGAGCAGTAACCCAACATCCCATATATGTGCTGTTGAAGCACACACAGTTACAATGTATAGGCTTTTTCAAGTGTTTGAATATTGTAAAAATGTCCTTGTAGTTATTCTTTCTAATTAATGAAATCATTGTAAGTTAATATAACCGACAGTAGTCCACTTAGAAAACAAAGTTGCAAAAACCTGATGAAACTTTCTATGTTTTAGTAGTATCTGATCTGATTTTACTGAAACTTTTATAAGTGTAATATCTAGTACCAATTTTATGAAAATATGAGCACATGTATCATGAATTAGGTGCTAGTTATTAGAGCTTTTTTCCCTCATGTTATTTAAACATATCTTAGTTTTAGCATATAGACCTAAGATTTGAAAGTGAAAAAGTATTTAGAGCCAGATTAACCAACAGTTTTTGTTCATGCTCCAATCATGACTATTTTATGGTCTTAACAGGCAGGGTAGTTTAGATCGGGAATTCACTGAATAGAGCAGTTCTTTTAAAAGGGGAAGAGGGAAACACAGAAATTGACCAAGTAACTTGTAATTCACTTATATGGTATTTTAAACAGTCCATAATATATTGGACTAAAATTTTTTAATGAACATGTAAAGCATCATAGCTAATATGCTTTTTAGGTTACTTAGATGTAGTTTCCAATTTTAAAAGGAAAAATTTTGTTCACTGTTCTATTTCAGGGTTGGATTAGTGGAATCTAAAATTCGTGTGCTTGTTGGAAACTTGGAACGAAATGAATTTATTACTCTTGCCCATGTAAATCCCCAGTCATTCCCAGGAAATAAGGAACATCATAAAGAGTAAGTTAATTATTAATTATTGTTTAGTACTGTATTTCTTAGATAATGTTATTTAACAAAATATGCATTGTTTAAGATCAGTTGTGAGATTGTCATTTAACAAGCATTGATGGGGGAGGATGATACATTATATGAGCATGAGTGGTCATGCATTAAAACTAGTAGATGCTGTGTTGGTAGCCCACAGACCCCAGCAGAAACTCCATCGTAAATTTGGAGCATCTTTTAAGTAGAATTTTATGTAGTTTACAAAGTTTACAAAGCCATTTAATCCTCTTTATAACAACACAGGATAACTGATTGGTGCTGTTGTGGTCAGTTTTAAGAATTTAGCCAAACCATTACAATTTGTATTTATGGTGCCAAGTTTGAATTACCAAATGACATCTGTAAAACTGTAAAAAAAATTAATGCAAATTTAAAATTTTTATTTTATAGCAACAATTACATATCAATGTGGTTCCTTGGAATAATTTTTCGGAGAGTAGAAAATGCAGAAAGTGTCAACATAGACTTGACCTATGATATACAGTCATTTACTGATACAGGTAAGACTTTGTCATCATGGAGCTGTGGTTCTCAACCTCGGCTGTATCTGCCATGGACCTGGCTAGCTCTGTTTTTCATTGGTTAAATGAATATGGTACATCCCTATTATGAAAACCTGTGCTGCTATTTAAAAAAGTAAAGGCATGGTGAAACTATCTCTAAGATATTAAGTGGGGGGAATGTTGCCAAACAGTCTGTATGGTGCACTACCATTTCTATAAATAAGTAAAAAGAAAAAAAAAAATACATATGTGTGAGCATGTTTGTTTATAAATACATAGACTATCTCTGGAAGGATATATAGTTTTTAAAAGAGAAGCTGGCAGAACTGGTTGCTTTAGGTCAAGGGGCCAGGTATGTCTAGGGGATAGGGCGAGGAGACTTCACTCAGTGCCCTGAACTGTTTGAGTTTTGTACCAAATGATGGTATTATCTATTTAAAAACAAACAACAACAAAAAAAACCCATATAGGTGATTTTTATTTTCATTCTGCACAGATAGAAGCACAATCATAAAGATGATTTTTATATTTATTACATGTACTAACAGTTGTACAGCTTGCCGATTATGTTTCAGAATCATTGAAAGAGTGTCTTTCACGTGTAGCTCCCTAATGACACCTTTCTGGAATATCTTAATGTATCTGTTATAAATTTGGAGTTGTCTTAATCTGGAATAGTGTACATTCATACTATTAATATTTTTGGCTTGGCTCATCTGAGTTTTCTAAATTCTTCTAAACTAGCTTTCACATTTATCATGAAAATGCAGATTCCTGTACATCACATCAGCTCTACTGTGTCCCCCACTCTGGGAGTGGAGCCAGAGAATCTTCAAGTTGAACAAGCACTCCTGGTGATGCTTTTATACGCAATCTGGAATGCAAACATAAATTTTTCCATTCTAATTTGGGCTCACTTTTCCAAAAGCAGGAGGTTGGGAAGCTCTGTTTATTATAGATTTATAGAATGTTCTTCTTTAGAAAACTAAAGATAACTGAGACCCCCAAGAGATTAGATAATTTACCACATGTCACAGTAGTTACTGTGCAAAAGAAGCCTCTTATGTGTGTCTTCAGTAAGCTTATAATCTAATTTGATATTCATGGCTGAACATACATTATACATTATACATACATACATACATAATTTGTGTGTTAGTAAAACTGACTTTCTTACAAGATCTGAAAAGCACTAGAAGTGGCACTCTAGGTCAGTGTGTGTTTCAGTCTCGGTAAGTTGTTCAAGGCTATTGAGCCTCATTTCCCTGCTTGCATAATAAGGATGTATTTCTAGGTAGTTCCTAACAGTCTGACATCCTGATTAGGGTAGTAAAAGAAGCTTCATGGAGGAGAAGAGCTCAAATTGCATCTTGGATATTTAGTGTAAGGATTAGCTTAGACTTCGGCGAGTAATTATGAGAAAGAGGTTGCCTTTTGGGAAAAAAACAGAAAACAGGATTTGGAAGAAATTCATGGGTTTATTTTGTTAATGAGATTGAATTACTGGAAAATTTTAGAAGTTGGACATGAGAAAACTAGTTGGTACTTTTTTTTTTTCTAAGACTTTATTTATTTAGAGTGAGAGAGAGCGCGCTTACATGCACATGTGCACTAGCAGGGAGCAGGGAGGGAGAGAGAATCTTAAGCAGGCTCCACACCCAGCACAAGCTCAATCTTACGACCCTCAGATCATGACTCAAGCTGAAAGATTGGATGCTTAACCAACTGAGCCACCCAGGCGCCCCTAATTGGTACTTAAATAGGATTGGCATATGGTGAAAATGTTTGAGAAATAGTTGTTCTATAAGCAGGGTGGGTATGTGTGTTTGTGAGATACCAAATGCATTTTAGAGAAAGAAAACAAACCTCTCGGTTCAGGAAGAACTTGCCCATTTAACATATTAACATTGTTACAGTGTACAGACAGGCAAATAATATAAACATGCTAAAGGAAGGAATGAAAATTGAAGCAACTCATGTTAAAAAAAAGCAGCTTCATCACTACCTTCCAGCAGAGATTCTTCAAAAGAAGAAAAAGGTGAGTTTGTAATCTTAACTTTCCAGTGTATGGCTCCACTCAGACGCACGATCCTAGGACCAGATATATAACAGCCTCCCAAACCTATTGAGAAAAAAGGAAAGAAAGGTACTATTCAATCAAGAACTAAAATCCCTCCTTTATTAGTCACAAAAGATAATTCATTTTATGTACTTCTGAATTGAAACCACTAAGTATTTTCATTTGCTTTTTGAAATTCTGCTTTCCCCTCTTCCAGCAAAGTCTTTCTGATGTTAGTCGAAGTTCAAGTGGACCACAATCCAAAAGATCATCTCTAGATAGCAATTGTTTGGATAGTTCCAGGGACACTGATAATGGAACACCTTTTAATTCCCCAGTGTCTACAAACAAACCTTCCAAGCCTGACATTCCTCCTTCAGGAGAAACAGAAAGGTCTGTCTTTCAGAATTTTCAGTCTTCAGTTTGGGGATAATGTAAACTTTTCTGTACCTTTAGCTAAATATCTTGTTAATATATTTTATTTTACCAAATGCTAGTTATTTTCTGGCTAGAAATACTTGGCAATTTGTTGTAATCCTTGGGACATGGGGTAAGCTTATGAAGATGTAGGATTAGATCAGTACACAGAAATGCACAGGTTTTTCTCTTTTCTCACTTTTTACTTGGTCCTCTGCCTTTCTTCCCCTTTTCTCATCCTCCAATGAAATGTTAAAGTGCAAGTACTTGAAGAAATAATCCTGAATGTTGAGTGTTTTCAATAAGTAACAAAGATTATTCAATGATAATTCAAAACTTTTAATAGGAGTAATGCTGAGCCTGCTGCTGTCATTGTGGAAAAGCCACTGAGTGTCCCCCCAGCACAAGGACTATCTATCCCAGTCATTGGTGCAAGTAGGTATCTGTACTTGTGTTAGTAATTATTTTACTACTACATATACATTTAATGACTAGAATTTTTCTTTCCTTTTCAGAAGTTGATTCTGCAGTAAAAGCTGTATCACCCCCAGCTGTGTGCACCATTCCTACTGTAGTGGGACGAAATGTCATTCCTAGAATCCCGACACCCCACAACCCTGCCCAGGGACAACCACATCTTAATGGAATGTCAGCTAAGAATGTTACACATAAGAGATCCCATTCCCCATCCATAGATGGGTCTTCTAAGAGGTTGAAAGACATAGAAAAGGTAAAGCTACAACCTTACTGGTAATTCTATAGTTCTTTTATTGTTTGTTTGAAGTTAAACTAGCACTAGAGAAATTCACAATTCTCCATAGCTTAGTGCTCCTTAGGACTGTTTAGAAAGAATATTTGCCCAAACCCTAAAGGAATAATACTGATTGTTCGTCCTAAATTGAAATTAGTAATAGATCTGAAAACTTGACTGATTAGTCTGAGTTTCTCCTTGACTTACCCAGAGGCCACTGTTGGTAACTAATGATATTTATTAGGTGTTAAAATGTTGAGGTCTTCTGCCTCCAGTAGGTGGTGGTAAGACTACTTTGTTACCATCTGCTTTGAGTTAACCAAAAATATCACTCCAGAAGTTAATGGTAGCAGCTGAATTTAGTCTAATTTAAATTCTTTTCCCTCACCAACCCTTGTTTGCAATATTTTTGACGAAAGCCTTATCACTAGTTTCTCAGCTTACATAAATTATATGGTTTTTGTAGGTAATAATAGCAATTCATCTTAACGTTTATATTCTAGTTTATTCGGCTTGAATCAACGTTTAAGGAATCACGTGCTCCTGAAGATAGAAAAAGAAAAGCAATGGTAAATGTATTAATAATGTGCCTCAAAATATTACTTTTAGAGAGCTATATATCAGGAAAAGTACTGTATTTGAAAGTGGATCAGATAGGTCTGTGAAGTTTGGGTTGTGTTTTTTTGTGGGTAGAAATAAGCATCCAAAGGAAAGAAAGTTTACATTTGAATATAATTCTGTTTTTAGGATGCCATTGGAGGAGAATGTATGCCTATTCCAACAATTGATACATCACGCAAAAAGGTAACAAAGTCTTATTCATAGGTAATCTATCTACAGGTACAAAAAGCTTATGATCCTTGTACTGAGTGAAACAACATGATAAGATTTTGTCCCTGTCCTCAAAGATCAGCAGTATAGTTGGGAGTTGGGGTGGAAGTAGCAAACAGTGTCTGGTCATTAAATATATGTATCTCAGAAGGGAGGAAAAGAGGAGGTAGTTTAAGACTTCATTACTTACTCGGATTATGTGTAGCCTTGGTTTATTTTTTTAAAGAAGTTTAGTGCTCAGCATAGTAATTGCTTACCAACACTTGATAGTATATTTTTGTTGTACATCACTGCTTACTATTAAAACTTAGGCTTGGTACTTATTAATATTTTGGAAGAGCCAAATGTATCAGTATTCATAGTAAGTATCTTTAAAACATGAGCTAAAGAGTCCCTAAATCTCAATTTAAAAATTTATTTTTCAAAGAATTACCACTGAAACTAATAACATGCTATTATTAAGCATGGTAAGTTAATAAGCAGGTGCTCAAAAATCAGCCGTGTGTGTGTGTGTATTCAGAAACAGCCCTTCTCTGAGAGTTTACAGTGAAAAAAAATGGCTTGTTTTCACCCCATTAAAGAGTAAAGTATTTGGCAACAGTCAACTTTCACCCTGCCAGGTACCTCACGATGTATTGGTCATTTTATTTTATATATTTTTTAAAGATTTTATTTATTTGACAGAGATTACAAGTAGACAGAGAAGCAGGCAGAGAGAGGAAGGGAAGCAGGCTCCCTGCTGAGCAGAGAGTCCAACGCGGGGCTCGAACGCAGAACCCTGGGATCATGACCTGAGCAGAAGGCAGAGGCTGTAACCCACTGAGCCACCCAGACACCCCATGTATTGGCCATTTTAAAACAAACAAAGTATCATACTTCCTAATAGTTGTAGAAGTCATAAAATTTCTTTTAACATAAAGAGTAGATTACAAAAAAAATGGATGTGTAATTATATATAATGGAAGAAGAAAGTTTGATGTGGGTATTAAGTACAAAAGCATGAAATGACATGCCTGGGTCTGGCTTTAAAATATTTCCAGTATAAAGGGCAAGGATATAAACCCAACAAATGTAGCAAAATGTTAATGTCTGAGTCTTGGTTGTGATATTGAAGTTTTCATTGTCTTCTTCTCTTTTATGTATGTCAGACATTTTTCATGTTTTTTGAATGGATGTGGGTAGGATGTAGATTTAGTTAATGTAACATAGGAGGGAAATTAACTCACATATTGCTGCCATCACACACTCTGTATTTAAAGGTCTCTGTCTCAGTTGCTCAGCATTGGCCTTCATTGTGTAATCATCTTTAGTATCCTCGACCCCCTCATCTAGACGCCTCTGAATTTCACCATCCCAGAAAAAACCTGGTCTGGCTACAAAGTCCTGAAAACTTAAGTATCTCACAAGTAGGGTTTACAGTGTTTTTCTCCATGAATGTATTACAGAAACTAACTGGATATCCAGTTTTCCTCTATAATACCCCATTTTTCACTTAGCACCCCAAAAGTTTTCTGCTTAGTGACCCTGCTCTTTGAGGAGGATCATGTTCTTTTGCATTTCTCAATCCAGAAGGGGCAAGTAATTTAACAAAGTCCTTTTTCCTATACATACACTCCTCCCACTTGCACCTTTTCTCTGTACCTCTGCTCTTCACCTCCAACTCTATTAAAAAAAAGTCCCCAAAACAAGGAAGTGTCTGTGAATGTTGGAAGAAAATATCCAACACATACGCGAGTGTTTAAGAGCCTAAGGGATATGGAGGAAAACTCAGTTTTGTGACTGATTTACTAGTTGGAACTTGATAATATATATTTGCTTTTCCTTTGTTTCTGTCCTTTTCTAATAGAGACTACCCAGTAAAGAACTACCAGATTCATCATCTCCGGTTCCAGCAAATAACATCCGAGTCATCAAAAATTCCATTCGACTGACCCTTAATCGGTAAAAGCAGTGCCTCCTTACTTAAGTGAATATGCAATCATTTAGTGGCATAGATGCAGCCACTCTTTAAAATAGATGTGGCTGTCATGCATAAAATAAGGTGAAAGTTTCAGTCATCGGACTAACGACCTTGAAGTGGTTTTTGAATCTCACACTTTGACCTGCAGATGCCGTAGCATTCTGTCATTGATTGCTACATGCACTTCTGTGAGGATCACCTGCTATCAAATTATCATCTACAATATTACGGCTTTGCGTTGGAGGTTTTACTGCCTTAACTTTCGATGCTTGTTTCTCTGTTGTGGGAACCAGTTCTTGGCTCTTTGGACACGGAGAAAACAAGTCCTGAACTTTTTCTTTCTTTCTTTCTTTCTTTCTTTCTTTTTTTTTTTTTTTTAAGTCTTATGTTATAATCATTGTATAGTACTGAAAAAGTTGAAAACAAAACAAAAAAAATTGTCTTGTAATTTTCCAAATGTTAACACATTTACTTTAGCATTGAAGCCACTTTGTGAAACCTGAGATAAATGAATGTGAGGTATCTTTTCTGCTTTTCTCATTTGTGTAGATGTACTTATTGTCTATTCTGTTGATTTAAATTATTTTTTTTCCAGAATGGCACATGGAATATTTAAATTTCTATTTTTTTTTTGTGCCTTTCTGTCCAAGTGTTGCATAGTTACCAGGGAGGATTAGTCCAGTGATTACATAAGAGTTGGGCACGATAAATTCTCTATATTTTGCCTCCCATGGAGGCCTTTGAAATGCATCTTTATAAAGAATCAGAATATAACCAAGATACTGAAAGTCAGTATATGAATGGTAAAATTGTTACATATCCTAGCTCATGCCATTCTTGTTAGTTGACTGGTATTTTTTACTGAGGAGCGACTCATTCCAGCACCAACAATAAGATACCTTGAAGTATGGCAAACTTGTATTTTTAAGGTGTAAAAATAACTTGGCATGGTAATTCTTGACCATTACTTACCCCACAACTTCAAACAGTTTCTTCATGGACTAGGCATGCAGAAATAAGCAGTGGATTTTACTGAAACCTAAAGGCATTTTTGAATGACATTGTTACCAACCATTAATTGGCTCAGGACCTTTGTAATTTTTATTTAACTATATGAGTTGTCTTTTTTTACACTGCTTTTTTCAATGCATTTCTTAATATTTTTTAAGTTTCATGAACGCATGCTCAGTTTATTAAAATCCATAACCATGTAATTCTTGTAATATGTTGATTCAGTGTTTTGTAAATGAAGTCGTATGTATTTTCAGAGTATTTTTGTATGTACTGTAAGATACCATCTTTTCAAAGAGAAAACTTTAAAACCTTTACTGTCTCTCTTTAGTCTAATTTTTTAAATATGGATTATGCTTGAATTATTCTTAAATGTATAGATTGCACAGCCAGGAATGCTAGTATTTATTACCTTCTTCAGCTGTCACTCGGCAATTAATAGGTTCTGGTAGGAAAGACACAAAATGGTACATTTGAATAGTGCAGGGAAAATACTCGGTTATATATTTTATAGGACTTGTGGGACTCACTTAGCCCAAGGAGTAATAATCTGTAATCTCTTGCAGGCCCCTTACCACTCAGTTGAAATGCTTGGAATTCTGATAGAGCAGTATCCTTCCCCCTTACCTGTTCCTGATCCCTAGGTTGCTGAAATGGAAATTCTAGCTTTTAACTCTTAAAAGGAAAATTTAGAAGAGCAAGGAAGAAGTAATGATTGTTCCATTATTCACTTTTTACATAGCAAAAGACAAGAATGAAATCCTGTAAGTCAAGGTGTAGCTCACTTGGAAAGCTCTTTTAGCTGACTCTTTTCCTCTATTCAGATATTCTAATATTTATTCCATAAATACTCCTTGAGCAAAAGTAAATGGTTATGAAAGGACTAATAACTGCCACCTGACTTCAGACTTTGAAAAATTCTTAAGATTGGAGTAAATTTTTTATATGTGATATGTTTGCATTTCTGTGTTTAATATCTACCTATTTTCCCCTTTGATTATCAGTCTTCAGGGTCTCTAAGAAATTCTCATGTTTACCCTCCTTTTTTTTTTTTTAACAAATTCTTTAGAGTGTTTAATAAGAAAGCTACAAGCCTAACCCAAAACCCCAGTATCGCCTTTTTCTCTTGTTTTAAAGATCCATTCAGCATGGGTTTGAAACCTAGCCAAATGGTTCTGTTAGACACCTCAAAGATCTCATTCTTCAACCTGTTTGGTAACTGGGGAGTTGATGAGAGTTGAGAGTTGATGAGAGTTGAGATGGTGGGTTTAGTCAGAAATGAAGTGTTTCCTATCCTAAACAGGAGGTAGGACTTTCAGTACATTTTGTGACCATAGTAGGAGAGCTCCACTATATTGGTTCCAAGTAAATAAAGGGGCTCTGGTATTGTATATTATGTTCAGAGGCACTAAATAAATGTGACTTCGAGTTTGAAACTATACCTAGAAATATATTTTATAAAGTCAAAATAGTTTCCAATATGTAGACATGTTCATTTTCATGAGGGTATTAAATTTTAATCTTAGAGTTCAGGACTGGCTCTGAAGAATAGTGTATATCAGAGGAAAATAATTGTCTGCTAGCTTAAATCTGAGGGACTTAACTCATTTGAGGGGGTACCTGGCTTAAAACCTTGTAAAACTGGGACAGCAGAATGAATTTTAAAAGACTATTGGTGCTTACAATGAGTGTCTTAAGGCAACAAACTAGTAACATTATTAAAAATGCTTACTTGACTACAGTAGCAATAAAGTGAAGATGGACAGTGGCCAGTTGGGCTAACCTTAATCTGTGTTCCTCAGCTTTGAAGTAGGAATTCCTAACTTGGGGATCATGGGCCTTTGGGAGGAATCTTTTTTAAATGTATATAAGAAATTTTAGTTTATATGCATTTTTGTGGGGAGGGAGATTCAGAAATTTCATCCACTTTTCAAAGTGGTTCATGACCCTTTAAAAAAAGGGGCGGGGGTGATGGGGCATTGTTAGATTCCATAGCTTTGCAAGATTGAATAATCCCAGACTCTGAGGTTTTTTCCATAAGATTTTTCTGTGGTACATTTCTAAAAATATACTACGGCTCTAACTAGTAAAGTGGGCTGTTGGAGGATTCTGGAACACCAAATTTCTCTCTGGAGTTTCTTTATATATTACAGATGAACCTTAATCAGTATTTTAAAAAATACTATTGAATTTATAAATGTCCTCATGTTTACTTAGATTAACAGGGTCAAACTTGAACAAATTTCAGCCTAAGATTGATCAGACTAGAATAGTTTAGAATGATAATTAGAATCATTAAGGATCTTAATCCTTTTATTTCAGTAGCATTAAAGTTCTCTCTTGGTCCTTCATGTTTATGGTTTAGAGCAGAACAGATTGAACAGACCAATAAATAGAACTTTAGTTTTAAAAAATGGTGCGCGTGTGTGTGTGTGTAAATAACTACCTATTAAATCTCCCAGAACTTAGCATTTAGGTCATGATGATAGTGGTAAGTAGTGCAAATGATGAAAGAAAACAGGTCTTAATAAATTCCTTTGAATTTTTTTTAAAAGAATTGTACAAGATCAGATCCTTCCCAAATTCCCAGATTTTTCTGGATTTTTCTGATAAGATTTTATATTTGAGGTTAGTTGAACAGAATATTATCATCAGACTTACTACAGTTTTTAAGCTACTGCTGCATTTTATCAAAGACTTATGAAATTACCTTATAAAGTACTTAGGAGATCTTTGAGGTACATGGTGCTACATCACTCCACAGTATTATGTAAAATGAATGCTGCAGCTGCTGTTCCTTTCTAGATAGTTCTGTATGTAGTTCATATTAATATTTCCTGCCTTTTATTTGGATTGTCTTAGTTGTACACACAAGCCTCGCTTATCTGGAATAAGTAATCAAATAAACTTGCTTTGCTAAATAGGTGTTGATTGGTATTATTGGGGAGTAACTCAAGATAACCTTAGTTATTTCTCAAGAAACTGATAGCCAATTTGGTCATTTACCACCCAGACTCTTTTTAGCAGATAATCGTATCCAGTATCTGCTTAATATGAAAGCAAAGCTCATATTTGTATCACAAATTTTATCACAAATTTGTATCACAAATTTGTATCACAATTTGTATCACAAATATTAAACATTAGCAAGCAGTATCACAAATTTGTATCACAAATTTTATCACAAATATTTGTATTTTTTGTATCACAAATATTAAACATTAGCAAGCAGTATCACATGGTGTCATCTTCCTTGAATACAGGGGCAAAATCTGTCACTTGCCCACAAAAGACAACCAGAATTCTCTACTAATGGCTGGACAGAGGTGCATTTAGCAAGCAGACCTTGGGTACTGTCCACAAAAGTACAAGTTACAGAGTATTACATTCCTGTTAATTTAACAGTGATGTGTTTTTAGCCAATCCACGTATCTTGAATACTAGTACTAAATTCGCAAATAACCTGTGTCTACATCATTTAGATTATTAGCCATTAATGGCTCCAATAGAAACACATTTGACATTAAGCTAATTAGAAAAGCCTCCTGTATATATTGAGCTATGGATAACAGAAGGGCTTCTAGAACTTTAACAGAATTATCACATTATGCTGAAATTTTTTTTTTTATGCTGAAATGTTTTAAAGTAAATTAGCAGGTGCTTTATGGATCCCAATACATGAAGTTATGAAGGCAAAATAAAATTTACTGCTTTTAAAGCACATGTTCTAAAAATTATCTTTCCAACTATATGGTCCTCAAAATAGCATACTTCTAAACCCTTACTTGCCAGTCTTCCCACTGCTGACTTTTGGGGCCTAATGGCTGCTCAAAGCCTTCTGATAACCTGGCCAGAGTAAATCACCCTACCATCCTAACATGTTACTTTCACCTTTCAATATTTCAGTTATTCTAACTTTCATACTGTTCAGTTGTTTCCCCTAAGAGGTTGTAGGTTTGAGAGTAGTAACATTTACCCAAGAATCTTTATGTATGTAGTGGTTGATCAGAAGATGTTCAAGAAGAGAACAAGGTCCTGTTTGGTTGGTTTTGTTTTTTAATTTGATTATCTAGGAGACCTGATGATCTAAGTTGCAGAGGCAAACAAAATTCAGTGAAAATCATTAACACACATTTTACAAACCATTTCAACTGTAACACTTAGTAAGAAATAACATCTTATATTGCAAGCCAGCATATGTATACATACATACATCAATGTGTGTGTGTGTATATATATATATATATATATAATTTTGATATGTGTGTATGCACATTTATAATTAAATTTCACACACAAAAATGCTTTCCTTACCAAGTGTAGCACGGTTATTTTGAAGTGCTAATGGTGATTTCACTAAAGATTCATGACCTCTCCTGAGTCAAGATCTACAGTTTGAAATATATTGCATTAGGTGTTCTCTCTCCAAACACTTTTTTTTTTTTTAAGATTTTATTTATTTATTTGACAGAGAGAGATAGCTAGAGAGGGAACAAAAGGGGCGGGGGATTGGTGAGAGAGTGAGAAGCAGGCTTCCCGCTGAGCAAAGAGCCTAACACTGGGCTTGGTCCCAGGACCCTGGGATCATGACCTGAGCTGAAGGCAGACGCTTAACAACTGAGCCACCCAGGCACCCCCAAAAGTTTATTTCAAACTTGTATCAATTTTCTTTATTCAGTCTATCTGTACTAGGATGCAAACTGTTCTAGCAAAATAGTACTGAAAGGACAGCATAAGTCATATGGGAGAAGTAGGTGAAGTACAGATACTCCTTTCTCCCAAGGAAAAAAATCTTACCCTCCCCCAAAACTTTATATCAATTGATAATAAAGAAAAAAATATAGAAGCCAAAACTCAGAGTAAGAATTGAAACATTTGGTTTACTTTAGTATTGGTCAGTTGACCTCACCTGGCCAAGGACTGCCCTCAGTCCCTGGAGGGTGGACTGGGGTAAAATGAAGGACAAACATACTTTATAAACCAAGAGTCACTCAAGTAAGGTGTATAAGTTACTAGTTTAAAAAATTCTGTTATATGATGCTGGGAAAACTGGACAGCTACATACAAAAAAATTGAATCTGAACCACTTTCTTACACGATACACAAAAATAAACTCAAAATAGATTAAAAGTCTAAATGTGAGGGGCACCCGGGTGGCTCAGTGGGTTAGAGCCTCTGCCTTTGGCTCCGGTCGTGATCACAGGGTTCTGGGATCAAGCCCCCCATCAGGCTCTCTGCTCAGCGGGGAGCCTGCTTCCCTCTCTCTCTCTCTGCCTCCCTCTCTGCCTACTTGTGATATCTCTCTCTGTCAAATAAA